AGAAGGAACACCATTTAAACAACCCAAACCATGAGGCCTCTTAGCCTCCCTCTCCTCACGCTCTTGACTACGGACCATCTCTATCCACCGAGCAGTATCAACCACCTCATCTAACGTAGCACCTCATACAGTCTCCCGAGTCATAAGCAAATGCAACTGATAGGTGAGGCCATGAATGAACCTCCTAATACTCTCCCTCTCAGTGAAAACCAACCAAACTATGTGACGAGCCCACTCTAAAAACCTCATCTCATACTGGTTCACAGACATGCCATCCTGACGTAGCTGCTCAAACTGTCTGCGGAGCTCTTCCCTGCGAGTATGTGGCACGAACTTCTCCAAGAAGAGAACGGAGAACTCATGCCATGTAAGTGGTGCGACATCGCCTGGCCTGCACCTCTCATAGGCCCCCCCACCATTTGAAGGCAGCCCCAGTAAATTAAAAAGTAGTGAAATAGACCCTACTAGTCTCTAGAATACCCGCCGTGTGAAGAATCTGCTGGCACTTGTCCATGAAGTCCTGGGCCTCCTCAGACTCTGCCCCACTGAATGATGGAGGCTGCAGCCTCCCAAATCTCTCTAGTCTCCTCTGTTCATCATTAATCATAACGGGACCCACTGGGCCTGAGCAACTGTAGCTGGCTGGGCTAGTAGTACCATAGATGTCTAAAGTCCCTGCATCACTTGTTTTGGAGTATGGGCGGCGGGAGTCTGAGTACCTCCCCTGGCCTGGGAAGTGGCTGCTGAGGAGAGAACTGATACCGCCCGAGCAAGGCCAGTGCAAACAGTCAATATCTGGTCCAGAGCCTCCTGAAGGCCTGGAATCACAATAGGCACAGCTCGTGCATGAGCTGGTCCTACCGGCTCAACACATCTGGAACCTGCTCATGAGTTGGGGCAACTGGTGGATCTGTATGGGCTGCTATAGCTGTTGTACGAGTTGCACCTCTGCCACTACCGTGTCCCTACCGCGACCCCGGCCTTTCATGGCCCTAGCCGATGGTACTGGTGTTTGTCCATCTAGTCTGGTAGCACGTGTCCTCACCATCTGTGAGAGAATAGAATAACATAAGTTTAATTCCCAGAATTAACAAATATGCACGACAAGAATACAAGAATGTGTAATTTTCCTAAGGGTTTGGCATCCACTCAAAGATAAATACAGACGTCTCTGTACCGATATGCAAGACTCTACTTAACCTGCTCATGACTCTTGAGACCTATGTAACCTAGGCTCTGATACCAACTTGTCACGACCAAAAACCCGACATGTCATGATATGCTCCATCACGGCATGTCGGGCTTTGGGTCGTGACACGTTAGATCCGGATAATGATTTTTTACTTAGGCATATGTCTGTATTAGGATTTGGAAGTCCGTAAGTTGCTTTAATACTTTTTTGGCAGAAGTTGGAAGATTGAAGGTTTAGAAGGTTGATAGGTTTGACCGAGAGTTGACTTTGTTGATATCGAATCCGTATTATGGTTACAAGAGTTGGTATAGGTCTGTTGTGTCATTTGAGACTTCTATGCAAAGTTTAAGGCCATTCGGGGTTGATTTGGTATAGTTTGTCATGCGTTTTAGAAGTTTAAAAGTTCATTAGTTCTTTAGGCTTGAATTGAATTGTGATTCATGGTTTTGATATTGTTTTGTGTGATTTGAGGCCTCAAGTAGGTTCGTCTTATGTTTTGGGATCAGGTTGTGTGATTGGGCGCGGTCCCGGGGGCCTCGGGTGTATTTCAGAAGTGTTTGGGTTGTGTCGCGCTCTTATTTGATGTTTCGGCATCGTTTCTTTGGGCATAAAGGATAATTTATTGAGAAAACGAAATTTTATTTGTAGTTATATTAAACCATTAGATCCGTATCGTAATTATGGAGCCATAACAATAAGAATCGTCGAATTTCGAGGTCATATGAGAGAGTTATGCCCATTTCCGTGTTGTGAAAGAATGATGGTTTCTGGTGCGAACTTTTGTTCTTCGCGAAGGCGAGAAATGTTTTGCGAACGCTAAAAATTGCTCTTCGCGAACGCGAAGTTGTCCTGCGAAGGCGATGAAGAACAATCATCTAGACAGTGTTTTAAACCAATAATTTGAGTATTTTGGGCATATCTTCGGTTCTAGAGCTCCATTTGAGGTGATATTCATGGAGTTGTTCTCGTCTCAACAAGGGGGTAAATATATGACCTTTATTTTGATGTTTCTCCATGATTATTTCCAATTGTTATTATTTTTATCCGTATTTGGATTATAGAAATTGAGATTTTGAGCCCCAAAGTTGAGAAATGGTAAATCCTTGATTTGAGAGTTGATTCATGGACGAAATTGGATGATTTTATGGATATAGACCATATAATTTATGGGTAATATTTATTTTCAATAATTTTGGGAATCCGACACGTGTGCACAGGGTTTGATTATGATGACTTCTCGAGCAGAGGGAATTGTAATAAATTATTAAATTATGAGTGTTGGAGTATATTTTGATTGGTTTGCACGTTATTTGATTAGTTTCGGATCTTTTGGCATTGATTTGAGGAGTTAGAGAGGCGTTGGAGCTGGGTATCACATTTTCGAGCGAGGTAAGTCTCCTGTCTAACCTTGTGAGAGGGAATGTACCCCATAGGTGTTATGTGTAATATGTGCTATATTTCGTGGGAGCTATGCACGTATGAGGTGACGAGTGTCCGTGCGTATGCTAGAATTCCTGATTAAGTCCGGGTAGACTTAGACTCCCGCTATACATTAATTATACTATTTGAAATATTCTTGCATGTTTAAATGCTTTAATTTATATTTATCCTATCACTAAACTCTTGTAGAGTATCAGACTTGCCATTTTAGATATTTGACGAGCTACTTAATTAGCCGTGATTGTTTTTTCCTTTACGGATTTCTTCTGTGTTGTGCATATTGCTCTGATAGTTTTCTTGAATTTTATAACTCACAGTATATTCGTGAGTGGGGTGAGTGGCCCCGTCAAAGTTTAATATTCTAATGGGATAGGGTTGATCTCCTCAGCAACACTCTTATGGGATCGGGCCTTTCGCCTCGACCGAGTAATATATTCTTATGGGATCGGGCCGTTCGCCTCGGCGGTATCATGTAACACACTCTTATGGGATCGGGTCGTTTACCTCAGCGGTATTATGTAACACACTCTTATGGGATTAGGCCATTCACCTCGGCCGAGTAACATATTCTTATGGGATCGGGCCATTCTTCTCGGCAATATCATATATCATATTCTTATGGGATCGGGTCATTCGCCTCGGCAGGATTATGTGTCATACTCTTATGGGATCAGGCTGTTCGCCTTGACAATTCTATGAAACACTCTTATGGGATAGGGCCGCTGGCGACGGCAGAATCGTGCGAAATACTTGATAAGGAATCCGCATAATCATGAGTTTCCTGACTTGAGATGTGACCGTTGAATTGGTATCAACCATTACGTATTCCATTTGAGGAGGTATCCGATAATTGAGGACTTTGTGTTCATTGTTCAGCTGTAAACCGTATTGTTTGCCTATATTTGTTTTCATTGTTTATTTACCATATTTCATACTTGTCTACTTTATTATATTTGATATACTGGACCACTAGTAAGTGTCAATGTCGACCCCTCATCACTACCTCATCGGGGTTAGGCTAGATACTTACTGGGTACGCATTGATTTACATACTCATGCTGCACTTCTGCACTTAATGTGCAGGATCTGACAGGTTCATTTGATGGTCATTTGGGCGCGTGGGCGCAGCTGCTGAGGGGATTTTATGATAAGCTACATTCCATGCTACGATTCGCAGCACATAGAGTCTCCATCATAATTATTTACTTTATCCTACCTATCTTGTATTCCAGATAGATATTATATTGTATTGTACTTCATAGTAGATGCTCATGCACTTATGACACTGGAATTTTGGAATGTTCTAGAATTGTTTTATGGTGTTTCTTACCATTGACACACTTTTACTTTATATTACATTTACATTGTACGTATCTACGATTTTTAATGCATTGATTTCCCTCTAATAGGATTTATGATTTCAAAAAAAAAATGAATAATTAAGTAGGTAGTTCACCGTTGGCTTGCCGAACAGCGACATTGGGTGC